AAGATGAGGAGAGACAAAGCGAATGTGACTTTAGGGTCAAGAAGTGATCCTAATGAGGTTTATTGAGAGAATAAACCTGTTTCTTGCATTGCATCTGTGTGTAATCCTTTCTGCATGTATATGATTACTTAATTATGTTGCAATGTTGATGTTACACTTTTAATATATTTGATGTGTGTAATTGCATGAATTAGAGTGACTTATTACTTTGTATAATATGTTTACATGCATAGTGGGTTAAGTTTTGTGGCATACTCTATTTGCTCTGTGAGTGGCGTGCGAGTATGGTAGTGAGAAGAAAGTTGGGCAGTCGTTTCTCTCCTTTATCTTTGTAAGCCTGTGTGGTTTTGTGAGATTATGTGAGGCAGTCATGTTACGGTTATATTCTTCCTCTTTGTGAGTGTTGTGAAGTAACAGACTCTTTCTTCGATTTTTCTTTGTGAGTGCCACTTTCGCCATTTTCTTTGTGGATTTTTTGGAGTTTTGGTGATAGGAGTAACTTTTGTGGTCACCGAAAGGTGTTGTTTTGCCTTAGTGAGTTTGAGATACATTAACAGTGAGTTGGATGTCTTTTGATAAGGTGGAGTATAGATGACTAGAGGTGCATTGGTGATATGCACGAGAGATGTAAAGTGTGACATTTGGATCACGAGTGGAGATGTGATCCAATGTGTAGAATCCTTTATCTATAAAAGAGACCCTGTACAGGTGGAGTGTGAGAGAGGCACTTCTATCACTTCTGTAAGGTGGAGTCCCATTATTCACGTAGGTTGGGAGAAGTGATGTGGTGATAGAGAATTATTCCGAGAGTTTAGGATCTATTGTGACTTACCAGTTAGACATGAGTTGAGTGATCTGTTTAGTGAGCATAGTAGGCGATGAAAGAAGATATGTGTTCTCAAGGTGTGAGTAACACGGAATGGGATAGGATAAGTGTGGTGAGATCTTTTCTTAGGGTCATTTATACATGTGTTGCATATGTGGTTGACCGTGGTTTGATTAACTAGGTGTTAATTTGTGGTTCTGTGTGAATGTGATTTTGAAAAGATCTGTGTGTGTGTTATCCTATATATCTTCATCGCATGATTATTTGTTCACTATGAATACTTGTTTCTACTTGGGTATTCTTGACCTTAACCCTGGTGAGTACATGGAGCAAGTATCGTATATGTTTCAGGTTGGAAACACGAGATAAGGTCTGTTATTCCAATTTTATTGGATTACCTTGATTGTGCAAGTATAAACTGTGTATTTTGGTTGCTTGCAGATTATTGGGTATCAAGGTGGAGATTGTTGGGTTTTTTGATACCCAATAATCCGAGCGATGATTTAAAACAGCTGTCGAATTATTTATCGACACCATAGACTTGGCTCGGCTCGGAGACGAACTACACTTTTGGATGGCCCAGGTTTCGGTTGGATGATTATTTGGTTAGTTGGACCATTTAGTGATTAATATGGAATTGAATATTGGCCCATTAGTTTAGGTTAATTGGTAGCCCTCTTAGTGAACCCTAGGCCTAATTGGAGTGATCTAAACTAACTTATAAATATGTATTTATCTCTAGCCTCTTTCTTGTGATGTTTTGTGAGACTTTGTGTGAGAAAAAGGAGAATCCCGGCTGCCCTCTTGGTGAGTGAAAAAACAGCCCTTAGAAGTGTCCAAAACACCTGTTTACTTTGTGTAGTTGGTGGTTCTTTCATAGTATACCTTTGTGATGTCTTCTTCTAACCTTTGTGGCTACAAATCATCATCCTTTCTTGTTGTATGCGGGTAAGATTGAATAGAAACCAAGGTGAATCAATTGGTTGTGGTTTGGAGCCGATTGGATTGGTTGTTGGTAGAAAAAGGTACGTTGGACTGAGTTTGGAAAACCATCGTTTGAAGATTCTTTCAACGTACAATTGCCCTGATACCAATTGTTGCGGTCTTGAAAGAATCTTCAAACGTTGGTTTTCCAGGTTCAGTTCAACGTACCCTTTTCTATCAACAACCAATCTAATAGGATCCAAATCACAACCAATTGATTCACCTTGGTTGCTATTCAATCTTACCCACGTAGGACAAGAAAGGATGATGACTTGTGGCCACAAAGGCTAAGAGAAGACACCATAAATGTATACTATGAAGGAATTACCAATTACATAAAGTAAACAGGTGTTTTGGACACTTTTAGGGGCTTTTTTTTCACTCACCAAGAGGGCAATTGGGATTCTCCTTTTTCTGACACAAAGTCTCACAAAACATCACAAGAAAGAGGTTAGGGTTATATCCGTATATATACTCTAGGGTTAGGCTTTAAGTTGGGTCATTAAAAAGGTAAACGGACCAAGATTCAAGCCATCCAGAAGGAATACAGTTATGTCGAGTGTAGCTCATGGACTTGGTTGTTGGACTTATTTCATTCATCGACATATGCCTATGAAATAATATTAACCAACGTTAACATCATTACCCGAAATTTATTGGGTATCAAAAAACCCAACAGGTGACTCGTTCTTTCTCTCTCTAACTCTCTCTCTACATATGTACATATTGCTATTCACCATAATTAGAGGACTAGAAACAAAAATTACAGTATGTAGAAATTATAGCCATTAGATTATTCAATTTCGTGATATCTATTCGTGCTACTTTGCCAAAAGTTTATCATCCTTCTCAAGAGTTAGCCTATCTATAGATAGACGACATTGACTTTGATCATTTTAGTTTTTGTTCATTTTATGATGTTCTGAAATGTCAATATGATGTTTTGAAATGTCAAAACCAGTGAAGGCTATCCATTAAGAGTCTATGTGTTACCGAATTAATTTGTAAGAACCCAATTGTAAAAACCAAAAAGTTGAGCATCTACGATGGCATAATGTTTAAAAAATGCCAAATAATAAAAAATAGATGTGTTTTGAAAAATAGCCCAATACAAGTTAATGGGACATAGTGAAGGCAATCGAGTTGAGTAGTTCATCAGCTCATCGACTTGGTTAGGAAAAGCTCGGTTCATAGGCGACTCGTCAAATTGGCGAGCTGGCTCGTTTTTAATGCCCATGAGCCGTGGCTCGCTTTGCCAAAACAGTGACTGAACGATCTTGATTCAATAATTCAAAAATGAAGAATCAATTTCCTCAAGTTCCAGGTATCAACAATGAAGTGTGATGCCAAACCCACTTTCATCAAACACATGAAGTGTATTGGGCATCCCACTTCATTGTCGGTACTTGGAAACTTGAGATAAGTTTTCTTTATTTTTGGATGCTTGATGCTAAAAAAATGTACATATAACAAGTTGTTCCTATACAATTTTAACTCCGTCTACTAAAAAATAAGTAGTCGATCCCAAGTCCTAGGAAAAGAGTGAGATTTTTCACTTTTTTTTTAAAAAAAATAAATGAACCCCCCCCCAAAAAAAAAAAAAAAAAACCAAAAAACACAAAATAATATTAATAATGAGCTCGTGAGCCAAGCTTGACTCGGCCCCACGAGCCATTAGCTCAAGGGCTAAGTTGAGCTTGGGCCTTGATAGACGAGCCATGAGCTCCACTCGTACAAGTCACAAGTTGAGCTCGTGGTTGGTAGGGTCGAGCCAGTTTAGCTCAATCCATTGATACCACTAATGTGATAGATAAAAAAATTTAAAATGTCTAAATAGATGTCTAAATGTAGATATCTATGTTAGACATATTAACTCAACATTATTAGATTTTCTTTTTCTTCTACCCCTATTTTATTATCTTGATTTCAATGTTAAGAAAAGAATCTTAGACATAATATTGGGATATAGATGGAATCCACTGTAAATCAATTTTATATCAAATTGTATATACAATATCACATTGTTAAAAAATTTGTCTATTTAATACTAACTGAATTGCAATACTTTATTATATAATGCATGTTGTCCATATGATTTATTCACACAGAATACATTAAGCCCTTGTTCGACAGTCATTATTTGTAAAAATGATATTTTGAAAAATGTGCAGTTAAAAGTGGAAAAAAATTTGAATTTACGTATAAAATATTATATTGTATGAATGTATAAGTATAAAAAATAAATTATTTTATTTTAAGAGGAGTAAATAAGGTTTAAATTGGTTAAATATTGAGCACAAAGCAAACCATGCCATTTCCTTTACTTCAATATTACAATATGAAAAGTCAATTTTTAAAATTCATAGGAGACCAAAATAGGTTGGCGGTGCAAAATTTCCCAACTACTTCTAAATCTACCATCCGATACTTGCAACTTGTACTTCCGTTCCAATTCCAAATGGTCCACAAAAAATAAAATAATATATATTTCTCCAACTAAGTCGGTGATTTTTGATCAAAATCACGGCTGATTCTCTGACCCCACCAATCAAAAATGAAAACAAAAATAGAAAAAAAATAACATTCTTTCAAAAAAAAAAAAAAAAAAAAAAATTTTAAAAAAAAAAAAAAAAAAAAAAAATCTTTAAACAGTGATTTGATATTATTTTAATAACATTTTTTAATAAAATAATGTTACACGTAAATTCAAAATTTTTATTCATTTTTTAACCATATTTTATTATTTTTCATCAATCTATTATTTCAAAATATATTTTTTCAAAATAACGTAACTCAAACATACGTCTAATGTTGTACGGATCGCAATAGAATTTGTACAATTTGAGGCCCTGTTTGATTTTCATTTTTCTCAAAACATATTTTTCTCTTTTTTTTTTATCGATATATTTTTCATTAAAATAATATTATATGTAAATAAAAAACTTTTCATCGATACATTTTTCATTAATATATTATTTCAAAATTTATTTTTCCTTGGAAATAGGGTCAAACACCCTCTGAATTTCCAGCGAAAATTTGCGAGCATGTAGGCTCCTGAAATCTCGCACGTGTTGGGTGAGTGGAAGGACAGAGACTCACAAAGCCTTGTGTCCTCTGAAATACACGTGTCCAATTCTTGGGCGGTAAGCCATGTCAAAGCTGGCAGAAGGTTCGACAACAGCGCATCATTTCACGTTCTCTACGCCCTCCAACCTCTTTGGGGAAATTTTCCATCATTCCTTTCCACACAAATAACGCATTTCTACGTTATCATTTTTCAATCACAATTCACAAATCAAATCAGAGGTCCTCTCTTTTTCTATCTCTAAAACAAAATCCAAGGTAATTGATGCACCTTTAGTTTGTTACAGTTAATATGAGTTCATTGAACGTTCTCTTTTTTATTATTTTTTTTTTCTTGTGCTTAGGGGATCTGAAGACTGAAGTTGAGGTGAGATTTTTCCGAGTTAAGGAAAAGCATGGAGAAAATTACGGCGTTCCAAAGATTTTCTAGAGCTTTCCGAGGGAATTCATCGCTTACTAAAATGTTGATTGTTTTCACCGTCAGGTAATTATTTTCCGTTTTTTATTTTGTGCTTCTGGATCTTCTTTGTTTAGTTGTGTACAAGTGTTGTTTGGATCGGAATTTTTGGGCTCTGTTTTATGCTTCTCGCTAGTTTCTTGGAATAAGGTTAGCGTGATTGTGTCTGTTTAACTGATCATTAATTTCATCGAGTTTATTGCTGTTGAGGTGTTTGTTTCATGCGATTAAAACAGAGTTAGAATGTGTTTCAAGTATATATGGTTTGAATACTTGGAATTAGATTTAAAGAACTTAGATACACGGGCTAAGGATTATATGTTATTGCTGCTGATAATTGAATACACCGAAAGACCATTTACGATTTTAAGTATCTGATCCGCAAAAAAAATAATCTGACTGACACTGTTTGATCTCCTCATATCGTGATTTGAATTGTGCTAATGATTTGATTTGATCTGGACGGATACTCAAGATTCATTGACTTAAGGACGAAATTTATGCTTCTTCAATGGACGTATCTTGTGTCAACTTAGGCAGGTTCTAGGTAGATTTTTTTGTGATGGTGAAATCTTATATGTTTTCATACCATAGGAGCAAAAATTAATTTGCAGAGGTGTTAGAATTTGAAAGGGAATTTGTTCTACATCTCATTTGTTGCTCTTTCATCATCATGATTTAGTATATACTCTGGACTGTATTATTTTGTTTTGATCAAATAGCTGCACTTCCCCTCTACATAGCTTGTTCGCTGGTTTGTAATTGTATGATTACAGTTATTTATGCTTATTGCAAATTTTAGTTTGGTATTTAGGATCAGGTTAAAGGATAACGAGAAAGCAATGGAAAATACCCTAGCTCTTTTGATGGCTATCTAACTTCTCCTTTTTAATTTACAGTCAAAGAAAGTATTCACTTAGTATGCCAAATTTTACACGAATTGTTTCAGTTCTTAGTAGATATCTGATGTGATAATTTTTTTTTTTTTTATTATTATTATTATTATTATTATTATTATTATTATTATTATTACTATTATTATTATTATTACTATTATTATTATTATTATTATTATTATTATTATTATTATTATTATTATTATTATTTATTAAACCTGTTATGTTTGATTGGCAGTGGTGGTGGACTTGTAGCGTATTCTGAGGCTAAACCTGATAGTGGTATGAATGCCATTACATCGACTGAGGCTAAACGTCATAATGGTACGAATGTCATTCCTTCATCTGAGGCTGATGGGAAGAAAAAGAAGGTGGTGGTACTTGGAACTGGTTGGGCTGGAACAAGTTTCTTGAAGAACCTGAAAAATTCCTCATACGATGTCCAAGTCATATCACCGCGTAACTATTTTGCATTCACACCATTGTTGCCAAGTGTCACCTGCGGTACAGTGGAACCTCGCAGCATTGTTGAACCTATTCGTAACATTGTCAGAAAGGTAATTGTAGCGAATAAGTAATTTTAATCAATATATTCTATCAGGTTCCTTCAAAATACTATATTTTGCACTTGTGCTTGAAATCATTGCACATTTAAGTTACTTCAAGTTGCTTTGAACTTGCAAAACAATTAAAATGCATTCTGATGGTGACATGATCCTCATTCTATTCAGTGTCTATTTTCTTTTGACATATTAAATTATCAAACATTTGATATGATGTGTTGGTCAAATTTGTTCTGTGTACCCAAGAAATGCATAGAGCTTGAATGTATCCCCATTTCTAGAATGAGTTTTGCTGATGGTTTAAAGTGACTTTTTCCTGTCGCAAAATCATTAAGCATTTTGTAGCATGTTTTTAAAGTACATCATCAGTAGTTCAATGTTTACTTGCTCGGCAGAAAAGCGTAGATGTTCATTACTGGGAAGCAGAATGCTTCAAGATTGATGCAGATAATAAGAAAGTGTATTGTCGGTCTAACTTGACAACCGATCTTGATGGGGAAGAAGAATTTTCAGTGGACTATGACTACCTTGTGATTGCCATTGGAGCTCGTGCAAATACCTTCAACATTCCTGGAGTGGCGGAAAATTGCCATTTCTTGAAGGTAATATCTGCTGGCTTGTTTGACTTGTTATGCAATCAGTGTTTCATTATGTTCCTCAAGGCTGTAATTTAATTTCCCCGGAGAAAATAGAACAAAATCCTCCCTTTCACATTTGAGCAATAAAACATTGTGAGTAAAGTTTCCTTTACCATGAAGTCAAAACTGAACCCTGTTTGAACCATGTTAATATATAAAATCCGGCCCTTTGCCCTTACCTGTATGAACGTTTTTGTACATTGGGCATCTTCATTGCACATTGATTCATGAAACTGCTCTTCCTGCAGGAAATAGAAGATGCTCAGAGGATTCGTAGGACAGTTATTGACTGTTTTGAGAGGGCCAGCTTACCTAGCATCACTGATGAAGAGAGAAAGAAAATTCTTCATTTTGTTGTTATTGGTGGAGGTCCAACAGGTGTGGAGTTTGCAGCAGAGCTTCACGATTATGTGAATGAAGATCTAGTCAAATTATACCCCAAGGCTAAAGATTTAGTTAAGATAACACTTCTTGAGGCAACAGATCATATTTTGAACATGTAAGCTCCTTCTTAGTTAAACTACATGTCTTGAATCACAATACCACAAATGAAATACTAGAATAGGAGTTGTAGTTCAACTCCTTTGCGTTGGATACAAATTTTGGCTGTTTATCCTTTTAATGACACACAGAAGACTAATATCTAGACTGTTTTAGCCTTTATAACGATGCATCAGAATCCCAATTTCCAGAAGTCACAGCATGATGGTCCCTGGTAAAGCTGGTGATAGGATTCAAGAACTGTAGCCAAAAGTTTGCTTAAATGATATGCAAGTCCTTGAACGTAGAGATAAAAAATTTGACACAATTCTCTCTCTCTTTCTCTCAACTTTCCAGTGCTGTAGAAGTAAGGTTAAACTTCCTCCAACACGAGTTGTTCTATTTTAACTGAGAGAAGGAAGAAAGGAATTCTTTACTTCGGACAACATACGAACTTCATGATATGCATGGCGTTTTCTTGAAAGTAGTATATGCTTCAGTCTAATTCAGTAAGACGTCACAAATATGGGGGCAGCGTCTATAATTTACATATAGGATCATTACATGTAGTAATGAATAATGATTGTACTTCTTTTATGACATTATATTGCACAAACTTGAGTAGCTTTGTGAAACTACACAAGTAGTTCAGGTTTGTTTAGTTTGGTCCTACTGATTATCCAGATTTAAGCATCCCATGTCATAAGACGTATATTGTCATGTACGCATAAGCCAGTAGACAGGCAAGAAAAAAATATTAGTTTTAAGATAGATAAGAAATTTTCAATTGAAAGATGGAGATATATATTCCTCAGGTTCTCAGCCAATTCTTGCATGCAGGTTTGACAAAAGAATTACGGCTTTTGCGGAAAAAAAATTTCAAAGAGATGGTATTGATGTAAAAACAGGGGCTATGGTTGTGAAAGTATCAGATAAAGAAATTTCCGCTAAAGAAGTTAAGAATGGGGGGAATATATATTCAATGCCATATGGCATGGCTGTCTGGTCAACGGGTATTGGAACTCGTCCTGTTATAATGAATTTTATGAAGCAGATTGGTCAGGTAATATCTCAGACATAGATTAACTTGCTATTAAGTTTTGACTTTGTTGTCTATCTGTTTTTGATTTCTTATTTTGCTCAATGTTGAATATCCATTTTGTGCCCAGCCTAACAGACGTGCATTAGCAACTGATGAATGGCTACGAGTAGAAGGAAGTGACAGCATCTATGCACTTGGAGATTGTGCCACAATCAATCAGCGCAAAGTCATGGTATCTGTTCATTCTCTCTCTCTGCCTGCTTTTGCCTTACAGTTTGTTTATGATTATCAGAATACATCGAATTCTGCAGTAGTGGCATATTATATCGCATCTTGGATATTCTAGTAGCATTTTGTGCCGATTTTCATCTTCCTTTCATAGGATTTGAAAGTATTTGTTTGGATGTGTTGGTGTACATTACCTTGATTACATTGTGTAAGTAAAAGATTATGTTTGGAACCTTTTCTTCTCATGTCCTTTAGGCAACCCAAGGACAGATGGTATAGACTTTCATTTTGTGTTGCATGATGCGTTCCATTATTCTGCTTTTATCCTTCAACTGTTTATCTTTTCAGGAGGATATTTGTGCCATATTTCGCAAAGCAGATAAAGACAACTCTGGAACACTTACAGCTAATGAATTTCAAGAAGTCCTTGATGACATATGTGAAAGATACCCCCAAGTTGGCCTCTATTTAAAACAAAAACAAAAGAATAGTTTGGTTGATCTGTTGAAAGATTCGAAGGCGGATGTCGTAAATGAATCTGTTGAAGTAAATCTTGAAGAGTTCACAGTAGCTCTTTCCCAGGTAGATTCTCAGATGAAGAATCTTCCAGCAACTGCTCAGGTTAGTATTAAAAGATTTATAAATGGTGGATTTGGCTATCTCTGTATTCCCCAGAATTATTTTGTAAACCTGCGTTTATGTGCTTTATTGTTGTCATTCCAGGTTGCAGCACAACAAGGTTCCTACCTTGCTGATTGTTTCAACCGCATGGAGAAGTGCGAAAAAAATCCAGAAGGTCCTCTTCGGTTCAGAGGAGAAGGACGTCATCGTTTCCGCCCCTTCAGGTACAAATTAAATTTTGTTCTTGAAAGCTTTCTGCTTTCTCTTTATTTCATGGTAGGTTTTCTCCGTAACACATGCACTCTGGATTGGTACACGGTCTCCACAGTAGCTTTCCATATAATCTCTAGTTCATCAGTTGGAGTTACAAATTGGAGGAATTATAATCACCATCGAAGCAAAGTGAACAAAATATATGATACTGAAGAAAAATATAAAAGCTCCTATTCCATCAATACTTTAGCTGCTGCCACCTGGTGGATATCTTGATGTGTTCTAATTCTGTGATGATGTTCAAGGTACAAGCATTTTGGACAATTTGCTCCTTTGGGAGGGGAGCAGACAGCTGCCCAACTTCCAGGAGATTTAGTTTCGATTGGCTACAGCTCCCAGTGGCTTTGGTATTCTGTGTATGCAAGGTGAGGTTTCTACTTTTCTTCATTGGAAAATTTGGATAAACTTGTAAATAAATAAATTGAAACATGTACATATCATTAGGCTGCAATAGATTAGGTATTGTACATAACTAACTTTCCATTTTTGGATAAATTTTTTGTTAATTACTGGACTTTATTATCCAGTAAGCTAGTCAGTTGGCGAACAAGAGCATTGGTGATATCAGACTGGGGAAGGCGTTTCATCTTCGGGAGAGACTCCAGCGGCATTTAAGAGAGCGAACAGTTTTTCGATATATATGTAAGCATCATAAGCCTTGTGTTTGTTTTGAACCCAAGCCACATGTTCCTTTGCAGTTTTGTCATTTGGCAGTCAGAGCAGTTTTTGCTGTATTCACGTGTTTATTCATCTTTTTTATTTATTCCAGCCAATCTGGCCGAGAGAATGTACTTGACAACACGACACCAAGTTTTGCAGCTAGATGCGAAGTTATGACAGAAAATATTCAGTCTTGTCCCTTTTCTTGTATTCGAATAAAGATATTGCTCTATGATTTCTCACTTGTTCATGTTGATTTTTTCATTTTCTTCTATTGTTTAATTTTTTAAACTCTGGCCAATATATCGGTGTAAGAACATGGATGCTTTAATTTTGGTTTGAGACTGCGTTACAGTTGATGATATTTGTGATATCGCATGTGAATCTTTCTTGTAACAAGATGGAAAACCCATTGGGTACAAATCCCTAACTGATTAAGACATGTTGGTTCTTTCTGCTTGGTTATGATAGCTGAAATTCGCCATGCTGCTAACTTTCGCTAATACTTTATGTATCAGATGGGCTTGAATTGTGTTGATGACATGAGTTCAGGTTCTCTGTCTTCAATTTCTGACCATTCTTTCGATTTCATGGGCTTCGTCTGGATAGATCATAGAAGGAAAAAGAAAGGAGAAACGAGTGGAATCTATTATTATTATTATTTTTTTTTCATGTCTTTTGTTTTCCGCTGAAACGAAAGTCAAGAGAAAAATTTCTTGCTAATATACTGTCTTTGTGCAAACAATTCCGAGTGTCCAGTTAAAAGTAATGTTCTTCAGGATACAAGCATTTGGTTCCATCTTGAAGGTTAAACCCAGCTGCAAAAATGGACATACTGATTGGTACAAATGTTGTTTGCTAAGCAAATGGAATATGGTCGGTCAATGAGAATATATTCCATTGCATGTATTGATATCTCGCGTGAGAGAGTTAATAAAATAACAAGTCTAACCGCCGCCTTCACCTTAAACCATTGGAATTCATCACTTGGAGTCCAGTTTTAGGTTCTTCAGAAACACACCGTTATCAATTTCTGCACTCTCATGGAAGCGAAAGGGAAAAGAGTAACGTAATGAGTTGCATCGGAGACGAGTTCAAAGGGTTGGACAAAGGAACTGAAAATCCGCCCGGGATAGATACAGTAGTTTTGGAGAGTGATGTAAGTGAGTGTGGCAGTAATGTTGGAGAAGGTGGTGGTGCTGCTGGTGTCACAGTAAACACTAATGCTGGTAGTTTAGGTGCTTCTTGTTCATCGTGTGCCTTTAGGTCACCACCTCCGTTCTTGTTGAAGCTATATGATATGGTGGAAAATATCGAAACAAACTCCATTGTGTCCTGGAATGCAACAGTATCTAGCTTTATAGTATGTAATGCCCATTTGTTTGCTGCTAATATTCTTCCTCAGTATTTCAGGCACAACAATTTCCAGAGTTTTGTATGTCAACTTAACACCAATGTAAGTATTTCCTCAGTTTATCAACATTTTTCATGTACATCAATCCATTTCTCAAGACTCTCCTTTTCAGTGTTCACTTTTTGTTTGGAGTATTTGTTGGGAATGAGAACTTTGCAACACACTTAAACTTACGAAACTGGATTGAATGCAACCAACAATTATTCAACTACAGCTCTGGCTATTATATAGCCTCAGACTCTAACAAACTGAACTGAAAACATGCTCACGTATCGGCTACACGCAGCCACGTGTTTTAACAGAAAGTAAAGACAATATCAAAGCATAACCTAATCCTAAGGACTGGGTCTTTATTCAACTGACTAACAAACCTTAAAGACTTGGACAACGCTCTTCAATCTCTCCCTTAAGCTAAATTCAGTGAAACAATTTAGCTTACTTCACTAACTTCACACATTCCCAGCATGCTCCGAAGTTTAAGAAATGTATCAGACTTCAGGGGTTTAGTCATTATGTCAGCTACTTGTTCAGTACTTCCACAATGAACCAAAACAATTGAACCTTCCTTTGTGAGATCTCTAAGGAAATGGTACCTCACACGTATGTGTTTGCTACGTCCATGTAACACTGGGTTCTTAGAAAGTTTGATGGTGGACGTGTTGTCACATTTGATGCAAGTACAGTCCTCATTTTCATGCCCGAGCTCCTTCAGTATCCTCTTCATCCAGATTGCTTGGCACGCACAATTTGCTGCTGCGACAAACTCTGCCTCAGTTGTTGACAGAGTCACAATTGGTTGTTTCTTCGAACTCCATGAAATGGCTCCTGAGCTTAACAGAAAAGCGTATCCACTCGTACTCTTACTGTCCTCCATGTCTCCGGCATAATCACTGTCAGTGAATGCCATTAGCTTGTCATCACCACCATTCTTGTAGTAAATGCCGTAGTCTACTGTACCTTTTAGATACCTAAGGACTCTTTTGGCAGCCTGCAAGTGAAGTTCAGTGGGTTTTGCCATATATCTGCTTAGTAGACTTGTAACGAACATTAGATCAGGCCGTGTAGCAGTTAGGTACATCAAACTTCCTACAAGCTGCTTGTAGTAAGTTTCATCAACCGTGACACCATGCTTATCTTTTCCTATCTTGGACCCTGGCACAATTGGACTGGTGACCATGTTGCTCTTCAACATTCCAAACCTTTTCAACACCTCCAATGCATATCTTCTTTGAAAGATAAAATTGCCTCCTGTTTTTTGTAACACTTCTATCCCAAGAAAATAACTCATGCTCCCCATATCAGTCATATCAAATTCTCTCATCATGGAAGTCTTGAATTCAAGCAACATATTAGCATCATCACTGGTAAAAATCAAATCATCAACATATAAACTTACAATGATGATCTTGCCTTCGTTGCTCCTCTTAGTGAACAAAGTTTGCTCACTTTCACATCTCTGGAAACCTTTACTGACAAAGGATGCTTCAATGCGGCTGAACCAAGCTCGGGGAGCTTGTTTCAAACCGTACAAGGCTTTATACAATTGATAGACCATATGCTCCTTTCCCTTCCTCTCATATCCTCTGGGCTGTTCTACATAGACCTTCTCATTCAAGTCTCCATGAAGAAATGCTGATTTGACGTCTAATTGAAAAATCCTCCACTTCTTTTGAGCTGCTAGAGCAATGATGGTTCTCACCGTATCTAACCTTGCCACTGGTGCAAATACTTCTGAGTAATCAATGCCTTCTCTTTGTGAATACCCCTTGGCTACGAGACGAGCCTTATGCTTGACAACTTCACCATGCTCATCACGTTT